CAACACTATTCACAATAGCCATCATACGAAATCAACTTGTGTCCATCACCAAATAAATGAATAAAGAAAATGTGGTATGTATACACAGTGGAATATTATTCAACCATAAAAAAGAATAGAATCCTGCCATTTACAGCAACATGCATAGAACTGGAGAACATTATATAAGTGAAATAAGCCAGGCACAGAAAGACAAATATCTTATGTTCTCACTTATGTGGGAGCTACAAAAGTGATTCTCATAGCAGTAGAGAGTAGAATGATGGTTACCAGAGCTGGGGTGGGGTGGTGGGGAAGAGAGGACAGGGAGATGTTGGTTAATGGGTACAAAAATACAATTAAGTATGAGGAATAAGTTCTAGTGTTCAATAGCACAGTAGGGTGACTGTAGTTAACAATAATTTATTGGATATTTCAAAATAGCCAGAAGAGAGGATTTTGAATGTTCCCAACACACAAAGAAATGATAAATGTTTGAAGTGATGCATATCCCAATTACCTTGATTTGATCATTACACATTGCATACATGTATCTAAATATCACATGTATCCCATAAATACGTACAATTGTCACGAGCATGTCCATTTAAAAATAAACAAATAAACTTTGAAAACTTACATATCTTTTATTTCTTCATCCATCTAATATTCTGTGACTGCCTCTAAGTGCACATCCTGTCTTTGCTCTACTGGGCAGTGAGGTCTATGAGTACCTCTAGGTGGATTTCAGAGCTGAACAATCATGAATTTTATGAAGTTCATGGGATCCGAAGGAGGTAATAGCAGCTGTGTAAACATTCAGGTAAATGGATGCTTAGGATGCTTAGGAAGAGATTTGGGAAACAGTTTGGGAAACGGGAACTTATGTAAGATCTTCAAGACAAGAAATATATTTTCAGAAATATAATGGTCCATCTATTTCACTGAGAATCTAGTTATTATAGTCACTCAGAATGAACTGTGTCAGGCCTAAGTCCATAACCCTCCCAATGAAAACGTCCTGATAAAGTTTGGATGGGTCGTCCTTGCAAAGCTCATATTAAAATATGATCCCTGACTTGGCAATGTTGGGAGAGGTTTGGGTCATGGGACAGATTCTTCACGAACAGATTAATGCCTGGTGGGGGTGGGTAATGAGTGAGTTCTTGCTCTATTAGTTCCCGTGAGAGCTGGTTGTTTTAAGGACCCTGGCACCTCCCCTTGACCCTCTCTCTCTCTCTCTCTCTCTCTTACTTCCTCTTGCCAAGTGATCTTGCATCCATCCTCTGCCTGCTGCTTTCTGCCATGAGTAGAAGCAGCCTGAGGCCCACACCAGATGCAGCTGTCCCAGAATCATGAGCCAAATAAACCTCTGTCCTTTTTAAACTACCCAGTTTCAGGTATTCTATTAGAGCAACACAAAAATGGACTAATACACAACATGAAACAAATTATAAAGTTCTTAGTATTAGAATCCTCACTATCCAATGTTGCATAAATACATAAATCTATTCTTTGAACCGTCCTTTTGTTTTCCTGGTGAGAAAATTGAGGCTCAAAGAAATGGAAGGTCAGATGCAGAAGCAGCTCCAGGACTAGAATTGAGGGCCTTTCTTCTAATTTCATTGACCTTTCCACTGCCTTGAGCCTTGGCAGGATTTCTGCCCAATGTGTTTGTCTATTTTCAGACTTGAAGAATGGCATGTTAAAAGTGGATATTCTATTCTTGAAACAAGAAATAGCTATGAAATGGTAAAGCTTTTAGTGTCTCTTTCCACTATGACTTCATGCTCTGGTGAAATTCTTGAGCTGCGGGTCTTTATAGAGGCAGAAATTGCAGAGATTCCAATGCCAAAGTCTCCATCTCCAAAGCACTTGGCTCTTGCTGCTCTCGCTGGCATGTGTGTATGTGCGCATGCTTGTGTGTGTAGTGGGAAGCACGGATCTTCTGACCTTGAGGCAGCTGCCATATCCAGCTCGAGTATCAGCCAGAGCAGCTGCTGAATTAATCCACCAAATAGGGAGATGTTTCTCTGGAAACCCCTGTGCTCTGCACAGCTCCCATTAAATGCTTTGGATTGATTCTTCCACACGAGGACACTTAGCCACACTCAGAGGAGAGGAAGAACACCTGGCAGGGGGCTTTCATTGCTCTGTTCCCACCTCTGTTCAAATTTAATTGCCACATATATTCCCAATAAAATGCCCAATTGTCCATGGGAAGTGGGTGGGAGCAGGAATAATTTGCATGTAAGTGTTGTAGGGAGAGGAAGGGCAGAGCATGGAAGCAGATTGGACCAGGAAACAGACACAACAAAGCAAGCCCAAGAGACGAGGCCTCACAGAGACTGCTTTCCAAGGGCAGCCAGCCTGTCCCATAGTGTCCTTCTCCCACCTTGCTGTTGTCTTGTTTTCTGAGCTTGACTAGGGCATGGTGCAATTTTTTCAAAATAAATTTAAAAATTAACAGAAGAAATAGATCAAATGTTGTTTCTACCAGACTGCTTTGCACTGACTGAGCACACAGCAGCATGGCCCAGAAGGGCAGAAACTTAGGGGGCAGCTAAAGACAGTTCATGTACAAGGGCTCTGCACAATTTTCTGGAGTATTGGGCTGTGACCAGGTTCAAAATGCATCCTGCAGATGATTGGGAACCAGGCCTTTCATGAGATTCAAATTCACCATAGGGCTGAATCCAAACCTGTTGAGAAATTATATTTTCTTAGAGAAGAAGGATGGGGAAGGTTATAATGCTGTTCCGATCTAACAAAAAGGAGCCCCGGCTACCACTGGTGGAGGGAGCTGACATTGGGTTTTTACCATGACCAGTTTCTAAGACTTAATCTTCCTCCGTGCAGACTGGGTGAAGAGAGAAGCCATGTGATGAAGGAGAGATTGTCCAGCATCAGAAATCACAGGCGGCAAAATCAGGGGCAGGTTCCACTGTGTGAATGGGTATGAGGAAGGCACCTGGAAATACATCATTTGCCTCCATAGAAGGTTTGCAGTTCAGCTGATGGAGGCTGAAGTGAGTTTACAGATCAGCAGATGAGGCTGAGATGCTTCTGAGTTTCTTAGGCAATATCACCCTCAGATAAGGGACCATCCGGTGAAGAGAGGTAAGACCACCAGTGAATCGAGGAGAACTCTTGTATCACATCCTCAGTGTTCAGGGTGAGCCTAATGATGAAGCGTGGAATTCCAGCAAGCCAACCTTGCACTGGACAAATGTGAATATGGTAAATTTGTTCTCAGGTGGTAGAGGTGAATGAGGCCTGCAAAAAGTTCATGGAGGTCAGGAGTTTGCTACTTTGGTGAGGTCTGTATTGACCTGTCCATACCCCATTTCAGGGATCCAAGAGTGGTACCCCGTCATAAACAGGTTTCCTCCTCAAAGTGAAAGGCACTTTCTCAAACACCAAGACGACACAGCAAGGTTTTTTGCAATACTGAATGTCAACCCACTCCACCCCGCCCTCCTGCTGCCCCCTCATCTCACCAGACAGGCATATGAATATCAGCGTACAGGACCCGGGCTCAGTAGATGGCAGCCAGGAAGCGTGAGGCTCCCCCTGCAGCTTCCGAGAAGCATTACAGAAACATATATATACGGTGACCAAACCCAAACCTGAATTCTCAGAATGTAAACGGAACTCTTCAGACAATTGTTCAGATCCACAGTGAGGTCCTGATTCCAGTAATGCATGGAGTTTTCTCTCTCTCTATTCATCCCGCTGAGTCCACAGCCAATGCTTGCTCCCACTGCTGTTTACCACAGATAATGTCGGGAGGAGGAGTTAGGCAGCCGAGCAGACTATAAGGACACTTGGAACATTCTAGGTTGCACAGGTTTCCAGCTGACTCTTAGACACTGAGGGCAGGACCTGCTTACATGCAGTTACAGACACAGTGGGGACCCGTGAAGATCCCTCTGCCACTGCTGATCAGATGGCTAATGAGGCAGAAAGGAAGCCTATGATGGGCCTTCCAGAATAGTCCATGTCAATCCAGGGAAAAGTGACCCAGAAGCAGCTGAGGACTTCCAGCACCACTGACCCTGAAATGCTGCTGAGGTACAGGCACAGGGAACTGAGTCTCAGGCCCAGCAGGGTCATTTACTCAAAAGTACATGGGGTTTGGATCTTTAAGTATTATTAATTAAACTTATGACCTTCAAAATGCTATTAAAGGAGTAAGTAAGATTCAGCCTCAAAGCAAACCTCATAGGAGTAATCAATCAAGCAAAGGCTTGACCATGAGAAAGGTGACTCGAAAATAATATGCAGGGACTGCTAGATGACTTTATGGCTTTTCTTTGGTTCTAATTCATTATGGCTGGTAAGTGTGCATTGATCTTCTGGCTCTTTACTTGTTTAAATCTCATCTGGCTGCAGTCCCCAGATGTTGCTGCACCCAGGACACCTTTCTCTCAGAGACCTCCTCTCCCAGGAGAAACACTGCAGAGCCTGGGGGTTCAAAGATAGCTGAGAAGTCACCCAGTCCACCTGCTCACCTGTGTGGGAACTTCCTACGCAGCCTCCCCAGCAGGAGTCATCCAGCCACCTCCCGGGCGCCTCTGAGGCAAGCAGATGAGCTGCTGCTACTTAATCTGTGGACACCCTGCGTGTTCCTGGACGAGCCTTGCTTCTCCTCCCTCTGCTTTGATGCAGTGAATCCTCACAGCATCATGGACACCTCTTGAAATGGCCTCCCCTAATGACATTCTGGAGGGTTCAGTCCTACTGGATTACTGAATAATTGCCCACTGAGTCCCTGTTCTGAGTCCAGGTGCCCCCCATGCAGGGACAGATAACGGAGCAAGTCTCCTCAGGAAGGTGCCCTGAGGCAACTACATTGTAGGGAGTTTGAAGCCACAAGGATTATCTGTGAACACGTTCTTTTTAGATGACCAGGCCTCAAGCTTTGGGGAGAAATTCATCTCTGGGCCTACAGAAGAGAAACATTATGGGAAAAAAAACTACATGAGGTGTTAGTCAAGGGAAAAGAAAATATTTCCTACCCATTAAAGTAAAAATCAAGCACTGAATCTGACTCCAGATGTAGTGAAGTACAAGAAAAGCCAAAAGTGCTAGGCAGATGGCTAACTCCTGTGAGAAAACAAGAAGAAAGCTTCACTGATATTATCACAAATCATTTTTTTTCAACATCACTTAGAAGGACTTTTCATTTTGGATTGGAGCATTGCACTCCTGTTTTCAGAAAACAGTTCCCCTCACGCAGCTTCCACTAAATATATAAGAATTCCCATAACCAGAAATAATCAAAGTCTACTCCATTTTTTATCTCAAAACCACCTCGAAAGTTTTCCTTACACCAAACATTTACTTTTGTCATTTTCATCTGTGAAAATAAATACCTGGCACAAAAGCATGCTACTTTTAATTTTTCAAAAACCATTTCCTTTGATTACCTCATGAAATTGAGGTCTGCTTGAGCAGACACAATCAAGATAAGAAGCCATTTTCTGATCTTTGAAAAAATGGTGTTTGTTGTCCACAATCACCTGCTGACCCAGGAACGAGAGGGTGCTTCTCTACAGCCTCTTGTCTGGGCGACACTCACAGCACACGTCATTGGAGAATGTTCACGAGTATGAAGTAGCCATGAACATTCTTCCTTACAAAGAAATTGTAAGATATTTCTCCTATGGACTCTTTGAGACATGCAAACATCTAACCAAGTGTTAGGGAGAAGACATGGACTCTGAACTTTCACTATATAAAGAAAAAATCGTATCAAGAGTCCCCTTTAAAAATCCCAATGAAGGAAAACCTGTGTTTTTCTGCTCCCAAGAGCACACGCTTAAGAAGCTCAGGTCTAATTAAGCCAAGACTCTCTTTGTCTAGCCATAGCCAGCAGCTCCTAGAATCCATGAATCAGAGGTTATTTTTCCCGAGCAGACTTAAAACTCAATTCAAATGTGCTCCATGGGGGTTGCGGGGAATGACACAAAAGCAGATGATTAGTCTTTGGAAGCCCAAGGAAGACACAGGAAAGGCTGAGCAAGGGCAAGTGGCCATTGCAAAGGAGAACCAGGGACACCAGCCAGTCACTGCAGACAAAGCAGCTCTCAAGGGCATGCCAAAGGGCCAGGGTCGCTTGTGTCCCCTTCCCTGGGAAGCCAGGTGTGAGGTCACCACACATGGGCAGAGCAAAGTCAAATTTGTTTTGTTTTGTTTTTTTCTTTTATATAATGCTTAAAAACAAGCCAACATTGGGGTGTGAGTGGTTTCTGTATTCCGCCTCTCCCAGCCCCTCTTTCCCGCTGTGGCCTATTCCAGTGGGACCCTGGGGACATGGAAAAGCGTTCAGACACAAGAGCAAGGACACTAACCTGAGAAGTAGCTGCAGGTGAACTAGTTTCCTTACCACTCACTGTTGCCCTCTCATTGGCTGCGGCTTCTGCCACTTCTGCCTTCTGCACATTCGAATCCTCAGAAACTGGAGGCCCTATTTGCCCCCGACCTTCACTCCCTGGGGTGCAAGGAGGGTTGCTGGTGGTTTTCCGGGTTTGGCCTTTATACCAACTAGGGTAAAACAAGGGATCCGCAGTTTCCGCTGCTGCAGGGACTGGAGTTTCAGACTCTGTGGTCTGCTGAGAGCCAGTGGGCACAACCTCCCCCTTCATCAAGACAGATAAATTCAAAAGTAAAAAAAAGAAAAAAAGAAGAAGAAGAAATAAAAGCAATGGATGTCAGTTCCCTTCGGGTTTGAACACTGAGCTTTCTGTGTGCAGTTCCCAACGTAGTGGCTGTTAGTTCATCCCACCCTCAGAAGTGCTAAGGACGGAACGCTGGCGACAGCGCCCCCTGCCTGGCAACTGGGTGTGCCCCCTCTTCTATTCTGTGCTTGTCTGTCACTAGGTGGTAGCTCCAGCAGGCAGAAAGCAGAATCCTCAAGTAAAAGTTGCTTATAAAATATCGGATATTAGAGAAGGGTCAAATTGTTGACCAGAAATAATTTTGGGGGCATCATATGGGAGCCCCTCAAAATTCTTTTTTAAAAACCAAAAATTGATCTCACTGATCAAATCTAACCCTCATTTAGTCACTACACCTCTTTCAGTTTCAGCACAATCGGTAGACCCAGAATTTCAAGATTTTAGAAACTATAAATAGTATTTTCGCCTGGTTTTGCCTGGTTTCCTGTGGAGATAGAGCACAGAATATAGTCCCATCTCTGAGTTCTTCCTCTGAGATTTTGTTTCTACAGATGATTTCAATCCACCCTGAAAGCAGGTGCAATGCCAGTGCTCCTCTCTGATAAGTCTGCATTTCTCCAGCTCAACAGGTTGGATCCTGTATGCTGAAGTGTCATGGAATCTGCACAAAGGCTTGAACACTGGACAGTGACATCTTAGAAACATAAGGTCAGCCAATCAGGTGCAGCATCTGTGGTGAGCTAATTTCCTAAGATATGTGTTCTTTCTTTCTTTCTTTTTTTTCTCTGACCGGCAAGGGGAACGCAACCCTCGGCATGGTGTGGTCTGCACCACGCTCAGCCAGTGAGTGCACCGGCCATCCCTATATAGGATCCGAACCCGCGGCCTCATCGCTAACAGCACCACACTCACCCAAGCAAGCCACGGGGCGGGCTCCTAAGTTATGTTTTAAAAAGTCTGTCAATACGCAGTCTCACAAACACATAGAAAACCAAGCTTCATTTGCTTGCCCACTGAGGGAAAGATACAGTTGTATTTCAGAACAAGCAACAGGGACATGGCTACTGTGGCTTCTCTACACCCTCTATTATCTACAGGAAAATTAAAAACTCTAAAAGTATAAACATATAATCACTTTTATTTCTCACCTTATACTATGTCTCACCCTATACCCAGCACTGCACTCACTAAGCAACAAAAAGCAGACCCAATCCCCATGACATCAGCTCTCTAGGAATGAACATGTTGCACACACACAGACACACACACTTTCCAGACAAAGGTTATCTCAGATTTGAGGGTGTTATTGGTGGAAAAGTGGTATTAAAGTAAGTCTTGCCAGCCAGCTGCAACAATAATGAACCTGTGGAAGCACCTAGAAGACCTTGCTCCTTGTCATCGTGACTGTCCTGGAATCTTCTGTTTGCCACATACAAATGTCTGGTGTATAGTAATCTTTCTCTTAATGTGGAACAAACTGGCAGGCCGTCCAGCTGCATGTCCTGTGGGAAGGAAGTCATGAATAGTTACCTGTGTCACTGGGACATCCGTGGCAGGTGGCAGGACTGGAGGAGGTGCTGGAGAGGAGACCGGGGGTGCCTCTGGGACAGCCTGGACCTCCGAGGCCAGCAGAGAGGGCTCCGAGGCCTTTTCTGGACCTGCATCTTCTCCTGGTGACTCTGTCCGAACATTTTCTCCCTCTTCCACTTCTACCGCTTCTCCTCCTCCTCCTTCTCTTTCCCCTTCTTCATCTTCATCTTCATCTTCTGGTAAGGTAAAGTATTTTAAAAATTGTTACAACAACCTCTGCAGCCGTGGAAACAGTCAGTGGCCAGTAGGTACAGCCCAGGCTAAGGCTGGGGTGGGGAAATCCTTTCCAGCCGATGCTCCACGAGGGTCCAAGTGTGACATGCTGGGGCTTTGTGCTTCAGGTTAAATGTGGATGCGACAAATGGGAAGGAACCGTCACCACCCTCCTCGCTTCCCTCCCCAGTACAAAGTCCTCACCCTCACTGCACACCATCCGCCTCACCCCCCACAGCCTGTTCACGTCTTTATCATAGTGTGCCACATCTGCAAGCTCCTGGAGGCTGGGATTGTCACTTCCTCATCTCCGGCAAAGTAAATAGAAAGGCAACTCCCTTCCCTATCTCAGAAATCACACAAACCCTCGTCTCATTGTAATTGCTCACCTCCTTTGTTCAGTGAATATATGACCTTTGCCAATATCAATGCCATGACTCTTCCTAAACCACTCCTCTTAATATTCCCTCAGACAACATTAAGGATATGATGTAATTTTTTTAAAAGATCTATCCTAAAGATTTGCCTCTCCCATTACACCTGTGGGCACTGGTACTGCCTCATGGCATTATTAGTGGTCTAGCCAAGGGGTGTCATCATGCACACAGGCTGAGATGAGTCAGGGTGATCAAAGTTTTGGTCAGCTCCAAGGTTATTTTCCTCTTTTCAATTATTTCATCAGGATAAGTTTCCAGGAGTGGGATTTATGGGCCAAAGTATAGGGATGTGTTTATAGCTCCTGGAGTATGTCTGGTCACATAGACCAGCTTTATTTCCAGGTTCTGACTTATTTTATGACTTGTTACTGTTCTTGTCCTCTAAAGTTTAATTGCGTTAAGTTGATCTGCTGTCATATATAGCCCTATGTTTTATTTTTATCTCATCCTTAACCTTGCTCCTGATGGCACTTGACATCATTGAGGTTAACACTTTGTGTAGGGTTGAAGTTGACAAATCATGTCACCATCAATTATTAAGTATTTGATTCCCAGAATCAAATGCCTGATGATGGCATTAAAATAGACACTATGATACGCAAAGCTAAATAAACACTGTCAACAGACTATATGATCCTGTGATAAAATAGAGCTTCACGCTGGATTATGATCCTCGTAAACTTGTCTACATTCATTCTGGAGGTGATTCTAAATCTCCCCTTCCCTCCCACCGAATTCTTCTGCAGCTTTCACACACCTGCAATTTTGGCCAAATGGTCAAAAGGATAACAAACCTCTGTAGAAATCAATTTCGCGTATTATTTTTTCTTCTCTATTGAGGTTGACTGTGAAGTGGTTCATGTGCTCATAACCATGTTCTATTTTCTCCATCTGAAATGCTTTTGAGGCTTCAGAGATTCTGCAACAAAGACAAGTTGCTACTTTCTGTCACTGTTTAAAGTTTGATAGCTATGGATAAAAATGAAGATATGTATTTTTCCATAAAATAAAAATTACTTACTTTTGTAACAGAGTTTTGGCATTCTGTGAAGGCAAACAAAAATAGGCTAACTTAAATTATTTTCATCGAAGAGGGTGGTGAGACTTAATTCTTTCCTTTGTTTACTTTGAGAATTTCATAGCTTAGTTTCTAAATGCCATAAATAACTACTGCTTTATATCAGATCCCTCTTATACTTAAGCAATGCCACAGATATATATTTACCGAATTGTTTAAATAAATTAAGATATAAGCATATAGGAGGGTTATATTTTAGTTGGTAAAATAATGAAAATGTGATAACAACAAATTTTCCAGCACCCACCTTTTGGGTTTGTTTCCTTGGCGCCAGAAAGAGACTTACCTGCAGAAACACCGCCATTTCTGGCTCATCCATGAACTGGATTCCTGACTCAACCAACTTTGATACGTTCTCCAAATGATCAGAATATTTTTTGATCAGAGCACGGACACGTTCCAGTTTCTCCTCTTGGGTCCGGGTAATGGCTCGGGTCATTTCATTCTTTCTCTCCTCCAGGATGCCATACAGGTAATCAAACTTCTCACAAAGCTCCTGTTTCTGTTTTCTGCAGCATTCCTGTTAGGTGGGTTAGCTAATGTTAGAAAGTGTTAGAAATAAAGTCTATTTGGAGAAATCACCTGGACATTTTGGGAGACAAAAACATTTACTTAATGTAGAATATTTTTTCTTTTCCCTTAAGCTGTCCCTTTGGGTATAGATAGCCACTGTGTTGATGCTTTTGAAATCCCATTTTTACAAACTAGATATTTAGACAATTTAAAAATCAAATTGGGCCAGCCCGGTGGCGCACTGCTACAGTGCGCCGCTTGGGAGTGCGGTGGCGCTCCCGCCGAGGGTTCAGATCCCACATATAGACCGGTTCCCGCTCACTGGCTGAGCGAGGTGTGGGCGCAGCACCGAGGTTTGCGATCCCGTTGCCGGTCCCGGTCCGGTACGGGCGCGACACTGAGGGTTGCGATCCGTTGCCGGACACGAAAAAAGACAAAAAGGAAAAAAATAAAAAAATAAAAAAATAAAAATCAAATTGGCTAAGTGGATCAATGATTTTTTAATTTTTTATTCTTTATGAATTACAACAGGTTTTGTTTTACATTATATTTGGGTTGTATAGGTAATAGGTTATATTTTTCTTTGTGGGGTGTGTGTGTGTGTACGTGCAAGGAAAAACCTATGGTTTGTATTTCCTGGTTCGTGCCTTTCAGCCTCTCTCTGCTCCACCTATACTGTTTCACTTCCTCCATGTAGATTTTGCAGCTTCCCGAGGGTTTCCCCCTCCAAGCCAACTCACATGCTGAACCCAAAATTAATTTCTTGCAGTACAGTTTTAATCATATATTTTTCTCTGTTATGACTCCGCATTACACAGAGAATACCTTTTAAACCTCATAACTGGCTCTCAAGACCCTCCATGATCTGGCTCCAGCTTTCCTTCACAATATTCCACTATTCTCCATCACATACCTTGCATTCCAGCAAAAACAAACCACTCACTTTCTTTGCTAACACTTTCCCCTCTGTCTACAATGCTTTCCCCCGAGTCACAGTTGCAAACTCTAAGCCATCTCAAAGACGTTGTTGGAATGCCACTTCTTCCATAAAGCTTCCCTTGATCTCCATCAATGCCATCTTTTAACCTTCTGAAGTTCCATAATAGTTACCATTTATGGCATTTACGTGTATCTACCAGATTCTCTATTTACCCAGTACTGTCTAAGAGAGGGAAATACTGGCTCTGGTCATTGTTCCTGGAGAGAAAGGATGTATTGGAATCTGGCTTGCACATTTTCATTGCGTGGCTGAAGCATTTCTTTACCATCCAGTTTCCTTTATGCTGAAACCATGTTTAAATGATAATTAATTTTCCAGTTGGCCTAGTCATTGGCCTTTTTGTTTTTCAAGCTTCAGTAAGCTTGGTGTGTTCATATGCCAATCTCCTTGGACCTGACCATCTCTGGGTACAGGACCTTTACAGCTGAGAACAGACTGTGAGCTATAATGATCCAACCTAATTCTCTTGCCCAGTGGAGTCTTCTAGGAATCTGGCTAATTTATTTCTGACATCTCTGACCTCCATATGACCCTTATCACATGTTTTTTCATTTTAGTAAACATTGATCTATTTGATATCATGTATTGCATTGTTCCTTTACATGAGTTTCTTAAATATCTAAACTATAGTCTTCTTAAGGGTAGACTCTGGGTCTGCCTAGGAAACATACCACCTTGGATAGTAGATGTTCAATAAATATGTGTTGTATAGATATTTTAAAATTATGTCTCATTTTCCCCCAATTTCTCTACTCTTCTTAGAGGAAGAGGGGAAAAAAGATGAACTAAACCAAATTGTTGATTATGAAGATACTCCACAGATGTGCAAGAAATACATCCCTCACTCCACTCCCTCCCTTGAAACAGTCAATTCTCATCACAGTTTCAGAACAAATTATAGTGCATGAAGGAGATTTAAGGGTTCAAACCATTCGAATAGTAAATACCAGTTATTGCTGTCATCCATCCATCCATCCATTCATTCATTTAACAAATAATTCTTAAGCACGTCGTTTGTGTCATGTACTATGCAAGACTTTGGGGATCCAAAAATGAATTAAACATAGTTCCTGTTCTCTAGGAGCTCACAGTTCACTGCATGAGAAAGAAAATGGGCCAATAATGTAGTACAATATAATAGGCTGAACATGAAGGACTTTAATCCAACCCTTTGTGTAGGTGAGGGACGTTTGTGGGGAGCCAGGGGTATTGGCTCAGGAAAAGCTTCTTAGAGGAAATGGTGCCTGAGTTTTGCCTTAAAGGATGAGTAGGAGTAGAGGAGGTGGGGGAGGGAATGAAAATGCATGGATTCTTGGCAGTTGTCAAAGTAATAGGACAAGGGCGCACAGAGAATGTCAAGACATGGAAATTGCGGGACTTGCCAAATTCCCATCCATTTCCAGCCCTTTGGCTTGAGATTGGGACTGTTACAACCAGGCCTGGGAAGTGAAGCTTGTTAGTTGTTTTCCAATCAATCTTTCTTCCACTGCATTTATTTACCTCTGTTTTAAGCTTACAAGCAGCCATGTGCCTACTGCATACCTGAGATATGCCTCTCCAATATTTAATAGCCCTGCTGCTTACCGTGAACATATAATGGTTTTCAGCTTGTTCTAAAATAAACTGTGCACTCAAAACATTTATAGTAAATATTATATTAACATGTGATACTGATAGAATATCTTCGTTTCATAAAAGTTTTCTTCTATGTGATTTAATATGTGTGAGAACATGCTAGTTTATGAAAGCCAAATTGTTTGCAATGAGAATGATGTGGACTCATGTGTATTTTAGTATAGTCTCTCAAGCCAAATAAAGATTTGTTTACCATTTTGGCCATATAAATTTTATTTAGTTGATTAAATAAAATAACTACTTTCATTCCTATATTATTTTCAAGTATTATTTTATATCTATTGTGTTTTTTTTAACAATTTGCACTATGTTGAATTTTAATAAAATTGCTATAACAGTGTAAAAAAGGCTGCCCCATGCATGGTCTATGCTTTTATAATAATTATATCACTATATACTTTGTAAAGCACTTGTAGTATTACCTGGCACATAGTAGGCACTATATCAGTGTTTATTAAATTAGGTCCAAATTCCTTAATTTGAGTTATTCAGTTGTGGAATTTTGAATCTGCATGGAATATTAGAATGCTCCAAATGACTTCACTCACATGGAGCCTGAAACTCAACAAAGGTGTCACTTCTCAGGGCCATTCTACCATTTATTGTTGATGTGTGGCCTAGAGTGAAGGTCTTTGAATTCCTGGGTCATTGCTACTCCCATCATGCCCAGCTGTGCCCTTACTTTTAAGTAACTTGAAAAAAAATTTATATGAAGTGCTTAGCCTTCTAACAAATTTACTGTGCTGAAGGTAGGCATTTTAAAGGCAAGAAACCTTAAAATGTTTCAGAATTATATTCATTAGTTCATTCCTTCAACAAAATTCACTAATTGCTTACTATAAACAAGGCATTATATGATCCAAAAACCTACCACAATTTTCCAGTATTCTAGAGAATGATAAATATAAGATATTGAATTATTATATTTTCTAATTTATTATAGAAAAAAGCACCTTTTTCTCTTGCTTAATTTGCCTTTAATATAATTCTGTGCAAAATATGGTAAGAGACAAATCTGTTTCTGAAATGGGAAAAAATACATATCTCTCTTCCCTGGAATTATGAAATCGGGACTTAAATACTTTTAGAAATTATCTTAAGATGTTCAGGTTAACCTAATATAATCAAATGTGAAACACTCCATGGAATTAAAAGTCTTTCATACTCTCTGAGGTGGAATCAACACATGAGACAAACTTAGGTGCCTTTCGCTCTTCCTTGGCTACAAGGTCATCAAAGTGCCGTGAAAGCCAGGGAAGAACAAACACCTCAGGTTATCAATTCTTCCTCCAAGCTAATTAAGGAACAGGTATATATTAGGGAAAAAGATGTCCTCAGAGGCCACCTAGCTACCAATAGTGATTACGCTGAATGTAGTACCTACTGTGCCTTTGTAAACGTGAACCTGCAACACTTTCAACACTGACTTTCTAGTAACCTAAAAAACAGAATGGGAAAAAATATGACTTCTGCATTATCAAAATGTCTGCAGGTAGCACACTTTAAAGGATAATTGTTATCTGCAAAAGCATGTTAGCAACCATGTTTATCTCTTTTCCATAAAAACTTCCTCACCTCAAAGATTTCTCCTTGCTTTTAGCATACATTTTCATTTATTTGAGTAAAACAGTACGTATCTTTAAGTCCAATTCCAGACTATATACCTACCCACTCTCTCCACTTCTCTGAATAGTCATTGAATCAATATATATACTTTTTGTAATTTCAAGTTTATTTTCTCAAATATTCTCCGTTTTCTTCTTTTTGATGTCTGTGGCTCTCGCTTTCTCTGTGTGTGCCTGCGTGTGTGCACCTGCATGAATGTGCTTAACAAGTGAAGTAGCCTCCACCATGAACACAGTAGGTCACAGCCTCCAAGCGTGTTGTGATGCAAAGGCTCTGGCTGCAGCATGGCCTTCCTCCTGGGTCTTCCAGACAGTTATATTTATTGGCTTCTTAGGCGAACCAAATCAAAGTTGTCCACAATACTTAAATGAAAATAAAATTCGTCCTATCTCTAGGGAGAACACATTGTGGATGCAATATACCAAAAATGGGTGGTTTAATAAAGGGAAGACTATCCTGCCCATATTGAAATGGTAAGATGATGATAGGTGGAATATTTGTTTCTAACCAATGCCAAAGTTTCTGGATGAAAACAAAAAAATCAAGTAGTCATTTGGTTGTTTCCTTAGAAGTGACTAAGTAACCTTCAATATTGAGCTAAAGCTATTGTTCAGCTGTAGCCCTTTATGAGGACAATGTTAAAACGGACAGATTCCAATTTTTAGCCACCTTTACATGAGGGTACTTCAAAAAGTTCATGGAAAAATAAAATGAAAAGATAACATGAATCCTTCCATGAATTTTTT